ATAGTGGGCAGCTCCTCGAAAAAAACTCGTGAAGAATACGCTTTAAAACAGACAGCAGCTCATGGAGGACTGCTCTAAAATTTCTGTTCCGATACACCAACGATTACACCCTAAAAATACTTTAGCTCAACGCACTAAAAACTAATCCCGGCCTAACTAAGATACTGAGGAGTAAGTAAAAAAAGTTGTCGAGTATACTATTATTTGCATTGAAGAATGAGTTAAGTTAAGAGGGTTAAAGCTAGTTATTAAATTTGTTTACCAATTTGTTAATTCAGAATGTAATTACTGGTGTGATAATCAGAATAAAATGGGCTAATTCAATGAAAAGGAAAAATACACTATTCAGATCATCATTGACTAATATCCCAAAAGTTAGAAAAAAATCGTACCGATCAGAAACCATTATTCCTTTAGGCAAACCTTTCACTTTTAGAATTACCCTCCCACCTCCCCCCAGGCTATGCTGTGGAGCATTTGACGCTCATATGCGGTAGGCACAACAAGATATGAGGCGGACCAAGTTGAAATCAACTGAGACGGATACTCGCTTCCCAGACGCCCCTTGGATGTTTTTCCAGGTCTTGAGCAAAGTGCATTACTTCTTCCATTCACGTTTCCCTGCAAGCGTCTTGCTAGCGGCACTAGAGCATTACACTGTAGATGAGGGCAAAGCAGAAATTAATCTTACATCTCGAGGATGCCATAGCCGTTGGTGCCGTATTGCCTGCAGTGGTAAAAGTGAGTGGCTGGGTGGCAGCTGAGCGGATGCCGAAGTGGGTTGGAAATTGAGGTTAAAAAAAATAAGAAACAAGGTGGATACAACCTCAAAATAGGGAAAATAATAGAAAGAGGGGATTTGGGGGAAAGTTAATTCGTCAAAGTGTGCCTTTCGGCATCATTGGTAGCGATGTGCAAGTAAAAGTAAACAACACTTCGGAATAGAGACAGTTGAGCATCACAAACATGCGGTGTATTCGCACATGCGTACGCACCTACAAACAAACAAGAAGATATACGCATATTCTGATAAACACGCTGGGAGACTGTTTGGTGGCAGTGCCGCAGCCAAAAGCAATGGAACAATTAAATTAATGGACTGTCCCTAAATCATTTTCTCGTTCTCGCTCGAGCGATTTCTTACATCGAAACAAACTCACAGTGCAAAGCTAACGCTTCTGGAGTCAGCTATGAGGGAGCAGAAGTCTCAACTTAAATATCTGTATAATGGTTTATAAAAAAGTACCCATATGAAAACGTAGCAAATGACTTGCTCATCTGCTGCAGAAAGAGCGTTTCCAAATCAGGCCAGCGCTTTTCGTAACTACACTAAAACTTGCCGCCGTTGGAAATATGTAGACATAATTACGTCTCGTAAGCTTTGACTGTCATAAGCCACTAAAATCGCTAAAAATGAATACTCATGTACCTGCTATAAATTGTCTTCGTTAAAACTCATTACATATCTTTTCTTATTCGAATGATATTCACTCCAGTCGATTTCGTACGACATATCTACGATTTGAAAATCGATACCGTACGACGGACTAGTAGCTTGATGGCCTAACAAGCTTGTATCCAGTAACTTCAGGGAAGAAGTGTTTAGACCGTGGAACTTATGTGCAAGCCAAAAGTTTTAGGTATTGTTGCACCTTTTTCCGGTTTATTGAGTAACACCGTACGTTTTCCTTCATCTAAAATCCTCGTCAATTTGTCTCTTGCGACTATCCTAATTTGGTGCGGCTCATTTCGGCAGAATTAGATACAACCCAACAGCAGAAACGTTTTACAGAATTAATCGATTTACGTCCCACGATTGAACTTGAAAAATATATAAAAGCTGGTGGGCAACTGAGCAAACTAACTCGTTATTTGCGAGATGTCGCGGTTGCTGGCTTCGCCTGGACGGTCTTTTACTTTACAGAAAATACGATGCTCAAATGCAGAAGTTGTTGGTCGAGGATAACGGATGACCACCCCGACGACGCTACCAGTCGAGTTGCTTTTTTGACAAGCTGCTCATCCTCTCCCGAGTAACACCTACATACACACAGACAAACATCCACCGCAACAAAATGACGGCCTCGCACACTCGGTGCTACACATGTTCCTTGGCACCGCTAGAAGTAATATCCGCAAACAGAGCCCAGCCGCAAATCCTTAGTCGACCAGGTTGCCTTAAATTTCTGCCATCGAGGGGTAATGCGCCATCAAAAGACACCAAGCCGGGGCTTCAAAGTAACCCGAAAGTACATCTTTCCGTCTGCCTGTTTTATGTGCTGCTGGAAGCCGTTATAGTGGTTTTGCTAGCCAAGTTTAGCAAGGACAAGCCTCAACTGAAGCTCCGTTACCCTCAAAACAAAGAGGTCCGGGACCGAAAAATAATATTACGGTGCAAACCGACGAGTACTCAAGGGATGGGCTTGGATGAGCCGGGAACAGATTGGCAACATCCTTTGAGGTCACCATTCTACTGTAGTTATTGTCGTTTTGGTTGGTGCGAACGCGGCTGTTATTGTTGTTGTTGTCGTCATCGCTGTGATGTTGTCATCTGTGACGGCTAGCTGCAACGGGGACGTGGCAAGCGGTGTAGAAGAACCCAAAATAAGAGCAGCATTAAGCTAGCGTACACATTACACAGATACACTCACATAATAACGACACGACAGTCCGGACAGAACACCAAGCTGGCTTCTTCAGGATTTAAGCGGCCAGAAGAGACCGGATGCCACGCACGCCTGGTTGATCCCAGACTTGCGCGGCGTGGTAAAGGCACTCATGAACTCTAAATCTCAAGGCCTCAGGCCTTAAGCTTGCCAAAGCATCGGGAGCAATAGGCGCTACATAGGACGCTCAGCAATGAATCCCGGAACGGTTCCTCGCTATTCCCCATCGTCCGAGCGATTTTCAACGGGCCTTTTTTCACCCACAGTACTCCACCACTTATACTGGCTCGCTTGTCAACTTCATGATAGCCGCTATCGCGACTAACGCTCTTAAAATGGCAAATGGACTACTGACACCGACTCACCCGCTGGCAAAAGTTAAGCAACTTTTTGTTTGTTAAGTAGCCGTCTCCCGGCCTCGGGTAAAGCACCCCCCCCCCCCCCGCCCAAAGTACGTGACATGCAACGGACTGTTATGAACGAGGAGGAAAGCAAGGAGGAAACAACAAGGGGTTAACTGCATTTTTTGCGCTATCTACCCACAGCGTCTATCTTTAAATGTGAGTTGGCCTGGGTAGGCTGCTAATCTATGCACTTATTGTCTAAAGGTCAAATAGGCTTGACAAACATTTCGACAAGTAATTTATAGTAAAATGCGGTTGATTAATGCTTCGAAACTGTAAATGCCAACTTTTAATTGCAATTTCTTTTGTTTTAGCCTTTTATTGTTTTATTTAATTTTAGATTTTTTTATTTAATTTTAGATTTTAGAAAGATAAAATAATTAATAATTTAATTTAAAGGCTGGGTACGTCCTTGAAAGTATATTTCAGTTGTACAGTATAACTCGAAGGCGTGCCTCTAACATTCAGCTCGAAAAGTATGTAATAGAAAGATATGGACTGGCTGGTAAGCGAGCAAAAACCAGTCGATCAGTTTTTTCGACTGGATTGCCCTTCTGTGCTCCATTTGGTTAGTCCTTAGCTACTGGAATCCAAATGCTTTCATGATTCATTTATTAGTACATGGTATTCCAAAGCACCCTAAAGCTTATGAAAGATTCAAATTTGAACTTCGAAAACCTTGCTGGCCATATCGATGATAGGCCCTGAAGATACGCAGAGTACCCTGCCTTCTCTAAATTATGTCGTTGTTTTCGAAACGGAGGATGTAAACATTACAACTGGTTCAAATCCATTTTGGAAGATGTTCAGAATGTGAGAACTACTTACTGAAACTAAAACTTTACTTAAGCGAGAGATTACGTTATGGCGCGTATGCACCCTTGACAGATCTGCGTTGGACATAATATGCAGAAGTAGTCTTCAAGTAAGCGAAGTTAAAGTGAAGGACGAAAGAGTTTCGTTTCAGTCACATCAAAAAGATCCCAAGGGCAGCATCTTTAAGGCTCCGTTGTTCTTTTTTGGTGGGTAGACGGTACTTGGTAGATGATATGTTTCTAAGGCTTCTCTATTTAAATACGCATGAATTTGTTTTGTATTGTCAAAAAAACATACGACTATAACTGTTGAGCTCCCATTAACAATTGAAGCCATGTTCATCACGTCAAGTACCCATATGGTACCTAAATGATACGAGATATGGACTTCGCAGTCAAAGCTAGTAAACGCACATATGAATGTGCACTCATGTAACATTAGTGGTGATCATCGTTTGTAGCAATGTACATTTCCGTTTTTAGAATGACGCTTTGGATAGTTGTTACTTTCTAGAACCAGAAATGCAATGATCTACATTAATATTAATAAGGCGTTTATTGAATCACTATAACCATGTTTGTTGCGCAATAAAATGGTCACTTATTTTATTATAAGAAATAGTTTGTTTTCATAAACTATATCCCTGAATACCTGAAGTTTTTAAGCACGATTTCATTAGTGCGGTGTTTTTAAAAGTGCCTTGTATTGTGTTGTTAATAGGATATCACTGATATAATCAAATCCTACCAAATAGCTGGAAAGCTTGAATTCAAATATTTGACAAAATTTTCAATCATATATCATCTAGCATATTTTATTTTATTGGCTAAAATACATTATGTAATACAAAAAATGACTTCGTTCATAATACATATTATTTTATGTAATACTATAGTGCTTGCCCACAACGCACACCTAAGGAATACGCAGGCACAGCTTTGTTTTAAATTTGGCGGGTCACTACATACAGAATCAGCCGAGCCGGTCTGCATTTAACGCTGTCAACACCATTTCAGAATATTGTTCCTTAGCTGCGTAAGTTGGAGTAGAGGTGCATTGCTCAAAACTTGACAAACGGCAGTGCTAATGCTTGTTTGAATTTGTTCACTAAAATTCAAAGTGCATTAAAAAAAATGATCGAGGTTACATGCAACGATCGGCTGGGCAAAAAAGTCCGCATTAAGTGCAAGTAAGTATTTAAATACGAAAACGTCATCGTTATCGACGAAAGCTCAAGAATGAAACTTTATATTAAAGAAAGAAACTTTAGCTAATGGGTTTAACTTCTATATGCGACGTATTAATCTGTATTTAGAGTTTGACTTTCAAATTTTCAGGTCAAAGGTGCGCCTTTTAAATGTGTAATAAATATATTTGCTCTTCTTCCATCACGTCATCGCTTATATTACTTTTATTATAAATACTGATATAATTCCTTGCGTACCCAGGCTTTCTGTCTTCATTTATTGTCCTACGAATTGCAATATAGTTGTTGAAGTAGAGCTTTCGCTGCCATTCACGACTCGAGATTGAACTGGATTTAGCAATTCATTTTAACGAAACATCTTTAAGCAAAACATATTGATTATTTCATGGCCTAAGCACTTAATGTAAAGCGTCTATAGTCTATTTTAGAAGTTCACATAGAATACAAGTCCCGTACGATGCAATTTACGGAGACACCTCAATTTGTTTACAGGGAATAATATTCCCTTTCATAAATTAAAAAGACGTTCTGGGTGGGCTATTTAGAGATCAAGCCATTAAATTCTCAAAATATCTTATAGTTGTCTTGTGTAACCGTAGTAAAAAATTAATTTAAAAAGAAACACGAGGACATGACATAAACCCACATGAGACATTTCGCTATTTATACCTTACTGGTACACTACACCCTCTTGTGCGTCATGATTAATTTACACATAGGCATGAATAAAACATTCTAAACCTATGTCCCTTTAACTAAAATCTTTTAGCCCAGATGATACTGTGGGAGACCTGAAGAAACTTATCGCAGCACAGACAGGCACGCGATATGACAAGATCGTCCTAAAAAAGTGGTATACAATCTTCAAAGACAACATTACGCTCGCCGATTACGAAATTCACGATGGTATGAACCTGGAACTATACTATCAATAATAATCAAAACTTTAATTTTGCCAAAAAATTCGTAATAGGCAAACTAAGGAATTTAACCCGTTCAGAAACAAAACTTTGCACTTGTCATGTGTTGGTTTAGACCTGTATATAATAATTACTATAAGTTATATTGCTGATGTTATTCTACTTGTGTAAATGAACGAATAAATGCCGTCAGTATATAGCTCTTCACTGCTCTTCATTAATTCTAAAAATAGCCTAGGGTTTTACATAGGATCTTAGAAACTTATTATTAATAACTTAGGAATCTACATAGATAAAATAGTATATTCTTTTAGGTATTTTTATTTAAGGTCGCAACATATGATCCGATCCTTGAGGTGCAAGGGTGGCAGGGCGATATAGGTCAAGAACATGCATGTGATTTTCATATTTTTTCAAAAATGAAAAGTCGTAGCCAGCGAGAAAATTCCTCAGAGAGCGCACCGTTCTCCATGTTCATCTCGTGGCGACTGCAGTCGATGCAGTCGACATGATTTGATGTTAACACTGAACAGTTGTTTTCAATGTTGTTGTCAAACAACGCTTCACTATGACATCATCCCAAAACCTAGGCACCGTTCTTTATAAATCTACATTATTCCTGGCCCACACTTCATTAGCAGCGATACGGTTTAAAGGACGCGCATGAGCGCAATAAACCATAAATAGCTTTTGAAAAGTGGCCTTTTACATTTATATATCTGCTTATTATTAATATATATACATATACATATGTATATATATATATATATATATATATAGTATTTTTTATTGAGTAACGAGCTTCTTCATACACCTAAATCAAATACCCTCGACATCTTTGCTCCACTCACGTTTAAAGCCAGGACACACGATCTACTCCATTTCGCCATTGTTTCCATTAATGCCAAAAATTGATGACCTGTTGTACATCGGCAGAAAGACGCTACATGAAAGAACCTCAAATTGAATATTACAGTCAATTCAAAACAGAAAATATTTTCGTTGAGACTGTATTGCATTATTGCCCATCGTTGAAATCATCTACAAGAAGGGGTAAGAAGAATAAATACAGAAATTAAGAAAAATACAACAACATCAGATGTAAAGTGCTACTAAACATATCTTATTTCTTTGTTTTTAAAAAAAATTTCTTAGTTTTTTTAAAGAAAATCCTACTGGAAACTCCATATAAAACTTTTGTAATATTTTTTTTTTAACCAAATGTGTGTGTGTGTCTATATTTATAAAATTCTATAATTTTATTAAAATTATCTAGCTGCCACAAATACGTTGATTGCCTGTGGGTAAAGTGTAACGCTAAGGGGTTGTCGAGCGAATACATTCGAATCGATGTTGATTTTCGCGCCTTTTAGTCGAAGCTCAGGACTGCGGTCTTCTTTTGGCGTTGGAATGTATGAAGAACCGCTCAACTCCTAAAAAGGGAAGAATATTAAAGGTGAATTACGACAGTTTCTAGGTAACGTTCGAAATAACTTTTTTAAAAGTATATAAGATTTAAAATCTCAATCACAACAAGTCTGCGGACCTAGTGCAAAGCAAGCTTTGCACCAGGTCCGCAGACTTTCGAGGACAGTCAGTTTTTCTCATTGCAAACCTTTACCCCCTTTGTAGAACATATATAATTAGAATTTTGAAAGCGTGTACGAGGCATATTAACGGCGGTATCGGCGTGTTAGAAAAAACTACGCGTCTTTAAATGTTTTATTTGCGCGCTCAGGTACATATCGCACCTCTAGAAAACAATAGAAACAGGGGTTTCAGTCAAGACAAGTACATACCTCTTGTGGGAAGTTGAAGTGCACTTCACCAACATGAAGCTGGTCGGTAACGCACGGCGTTACGTACGAACTGTGGCGCTTGAAACTAAATAAGTCAACAACCGATGTGTTTATTCATATTCACATTATAGTAATAAATCAGACGGTCATATTGCGACACAACCATCGTGACAGACTGCAACGGTCTACGACATGTACAAGTGCAGTTGAATAAATAATTCAACAACTAAAAAGCTACTGGAACAAAATAGAAGCATCTCTAAAAAATATTATTGATAGGCCGTGATGTAACTGACAATTGGTAGTAACCTCCTAAACTATACACAATTTGGATGCTAGATCAGGTAATGTGTGCCCATTCAATTTAACCAAGAAAGTAAAAGATAATTCGATTCTTAATATTATACAAAATATATCGACGACTTTTATCGTTCGTTTGCAACGTACCCATCAAACATTACGGCGCAGGTGCTCAGATTCGCTGGTGACGCTCGTACGACAAGGGCACCATTAACAGGTTCGATTTCGAGGTTGGAATAGCAGATGTACGTGTCGTACATCTGTCCGCATTTTTCGTTTTCCACTGAGTTGTATCTTTCAAGCGGGTTTACCGGAGCTGCAAGAGAAACCGACGCTTGTTATTTGCATTAGACGATTGTCAGCTATCAGTAATATATTTATTACAGCAACAGACATCATTGGGTACCCTGTAATTTTTGGACTAAACGTTTTTGTCAGGCTATGCCACTAGGAATCGTGACGCGTTGTTTCGATAATTTGTGATTGAGTTTTTGGTGCCTAAAGTCGCAATTTGCGTTGTTTTTTAGTAACGGCTTCACGGGAAAACCATGTAACGACATAAAAAGATATGCTTTACAGTGAATTCACGTAAATCTCTGCTAACTAAACGCCCCACAACACCCGGCTATCCAACCGGGGCTATCTAGTTAGATTTAAAATCTAGTTATAAGTTAGCATTTTTATTTCAAGTGCAATAAATTGAAATTAGCAATGTGTGGCCTCGGTATACCGTAAAGCAAAGACATGAGATAGACTATGAGTCACTTGACCGAGTGATTCAGACTAGTAGATCGAATAGTATTTTTCAGAAAGGCTTGCGCACCATTATGTATCTCTTATCTATTCTACGCTAGTCATACCTTTTTTCGGCTTTAAGTTCTTTTTGACATAACTACTCCACCATCTACTTCCGCCAGAAAAGGTTTCCTCTTCTTTCTCTTCTTCCGCTTTAATCTCGCCTTTTTTTAACTCACGCATCACACAGCGTTTGCAGCCCGAACACGCATTACTAAACTGAATCTCGGTTTCTTCGGAAGCTATTTTTCGTCTCAGGCTCTGAAAGAAGTAAGCTGCACGGGTGCGAAGCGGCCCGAAATACCAGTATCTGAAACATATGTGAATTTGCATATGTGAATGCAAAATAATAAGGTTCGTGTTAAAACGGGGCGTTACAACAGTTAACATTCGGTATTTTCTATTTTTGCGTTTTTTTCGAAAAAAATAGATTTTCGTTAACAACCCGCCCGTTGACACCATATAATTTGACTGTCTCTAGAACCGCTTACTGCTTTCCTGATCGTTGTAATACTTAAGAGAAAATGCGTACGTCGTGTAGGCCTGGAAGGCTTTTCTGAATGCATTATTCCTTATACATATCCTGCACATAAGTAAAATTATTTATTATTTAACCGAACAATCGCAACCCTATTCCTAATCGAATAAGATGATAGTGATACGATAAAAAATAGTATTAAAAAACTAATTCAACACTGCTCAGGTAGGTTCAAAATAAGAAATATTTTCAATTTGCCCTTATTGTAAATTTAAAAATGAGTCAGTAAAGTTCGTACCTTGAATTCCAGTCGAGTAGTATGAATAGGACTTACTTAACTTACCGTTCAATATTTGCGTCTATATCGCGGAATAAACCGTATTCAATCTTTCCTACCCCGTAAACGGGATCAACTTGTTTAAAGTTTGGCTGCTTCTCAGCTGCTTCCTGTTTGACCTCAATAATTTTTTGGTTAATCTCAGATGGCGCCTGTGTAATGTTACTGATTTCCTTCATTGACTGGTCAGGAAAGTTATTGGATTTAGAATCTACTTTACTAACGATCCCATCGTCCTGGAAAAATAACATTAAAAAGCACGAGAATCGTTGTAAGCTATTAAAACTCCGTTGGATACTAATAGTTGGATTGATTTAAATGCTCAATGCAAAAGTTAGGAATCCCTGAACATAATACCCATTTCTCTAAAATTTAAACTTCCGCTTTATTCAATTATATTTCCTATAATCATCAAGTACTCAACCTCGAATGCATTGAATTCAGCAAATATTTATTTCGGAAGTCACGATCCGGATTTTGACCTTTCTAATGTGTAATGTACATGTATGTAAAGCTACTGCTTGGAGAAAGCTCAGCTTAGCATAGCTATCAAACTCTGAAGTGGCTATGGAAATGTCGTCTAATACAAACAAGAAGTAATAGACTAGAATTAGTAGATGCCGAAATAGACATAAATGAAAAACAGACGAAGTCGCAAGTGGCGCAGGTGGCTCTGCCTTCTCAACACTCACTTCATAATCCTTTTGGCTTAGTTGCATCAGTTTCTTTTCATACAGATCGTCTTTACTAGCCCATAGTTTTTGGTTGTGGAATTCAACCTTGTACGCAGAAATTCTGGCTTTTACACCACGAATAACGGCCATGGCCGCTTCAGCGGCTAGCTGCTGCTCTCTCATACCGTCTCGGTAGAATAGCCTTCGCACCAGCGTATTGGTTTTTCCCGTAGGTACAAAACCCATTGGGAATCGCTCCGATGCCTCCAGCTGTAATCAAGAACGGTGTAAAATAAGTTACATTTAATTCATTGCCGACATATCTGCGGTCATAGGCGCAATGATACCCAAAGCCTCCATCTCTTGAACATGACCGTTTCTATGTAGCAGCTTATATAGAATATTATATATAATTAAGAAGCACGCCTTGCTTTTCTGATAAAGTCAAGGGGTGCTAAGTGAATGCGCTGTTTTATTCATCCTAATGAAATGGTTGTGTCACTTTTTAGGAAATAATTTCTGATGAAAGTTGCTCTTACTACTACTGTATAATTCACAACTGTTTGTCATCGCTATACCCGATCTTCCCTAGACAAGAGTCCAGTGACGGCCTCCGAAAGTGTTCCGTCGCCCCCAGCTACAACGACGGCGTCGGTGTTATCCATGATCTTCATTAGATCCTTTGCCTGCCCTGCATGTTCAGTACGAAAAACAGACACTTTCATGCCAGATAGATACAGAAGTGGGGCCGCATAATTCTCGTACAGGTTTTTACTGAAAAAGTCGATTTAGGCGCGTTTTAATAACAAATTTTGTAATTATATCACCCAGGAAAAATTTAGCAGGGAAAAACCTAAAAAGTGCGCAAGAATAGTTCAAAAGACCAATCATCCTGGTTCAATTTCTAACATATTTCTAACATAGTAAACGAAAACTTGCAAAATTTGCACGAAATGTTGTTCTGTAAAGTAATTCAGAATGGTGGTGGATAGCTACAAGATAATTATGACAACCAACCTGCCCTTCGTTTTCGGATTTAAAATGACCGTCACGTGACGAGGTGTATCTCCTTGGGGACAGATTTGTTCACCGAAGTCTTGTGCTTCCCGGCAATAGGCTCGCATCATCAGCCGCACCCTGCAAATCACTTATCAGAATGTACTAAAAAAAATTAATCACTTGCGTGAGGGTCGTTTAAATTTTTCAAGAATTTATCGAGCGCCTTAACTACGGAATGGTAACGCATACCGTATCTGTTTCCAGTAACAATCAAGAAAATTTGTTAGACAGTTCAAAAACGTGAAATCCTCTGTACTTAGTGTTCACAAAAACTCATTACAAAGTATGCGTTTCAATCAATTATTTCATTCAACTATTTATGATAAATGATGCAATACGGCATCATGTTAAATACGTTATATATACATATTCTAAATCTGATATCTCTGGCGGACAATTGTTGTAGATTCGATTACTTAATACCATAAGTGGCCTCAGTGAACCATCGCATTAGGATTATATTACTTTATAACCCTACACCAAATGAACCGTATTTTTTCTAACTCTAGCAGTATAAATAGTCAATTTCGTCTTCATTAACCTGATGATTTAAAGAGGGCTCCTAAAGGACTTAATAAGAGAAATGTGCCTGCAAGGTATCAAGCACACTCCTCATATCAGTGGCCTTACATTGTTTCAATTATGGTTACATGCTTTACAAGTTATATGAAATAATAAGCATAATAGTTATTATAACCAATAGGAAATCATAAAACATGACATTTAATCTTAGAGAGATTTCCATGATGCCTTACTGCAAAGTATGTAGGCCATCACTATGGTGAAACGTGTTTATCTACTGCCTTTAGTTCTTTTTCGACTACATACGAGCAAAGAAGCAACTTGAAATTAAATAAAGCTATTGAAGTGTAGAATCATTAGTTCATAAAATATAATGCAACGTTTGAGTGTTTAACTAAGTACACGATGATTAAACTAAGGCTAGAGTGGGTTGAGAACAAGCACTTATCCAGGTAAAAAATGTATAGGCACTTTAACGGTTCCTTTGCTTATTAGGACTAATTTAATAATTGAGATCATGTTTTCATAAAGGCGTTCTCACCACGCTAGACCAAAGAGCTCTCGGTAAACTTTGTAGTAAATACGACAATTTACTTCAACATAATTAAGGCTAGAATATAAATCTTAGAAGCTATAATAATATCGAGTATTTTGCTATACGGACGTTTCTAAGAGAAAAACAAAAATCATAGTTTATAAATTACAATAATAAAAATAAGTAAATAAATACAATAATAGTAGCAACAACATATATCAATTCTTATATTAAATTTATTATTTTTATTAAAGAACTAGAAACTAAACCAGTTTTATTTTACATATCTTACGAAGGTCCAAAAGCCTGCACAGTCCTTACTGCAAGTCCAAACTTACATCGTAGCAATTACGCGATTTGTTCCAGACTCATTTTATAACATGGTAGAATCATCTTGCTTCATACGCGTTGATACTGTTGGGCTAAGTTAGAGGTAAGACTAGTTAGGCCTTTCAAATCTTTCGTTTTTTTTTTGTTCAGTTAATTTGTTGGTAGTCAAGTTTTGACAGGTTTGTCCTTTGTATTGTTGTCTTCGCTTTGTCCAGATCGCAAGGCTTTACTATGAGTTTGAATTCAACAACGAATACATCATCGACGGTTGAAAAGACAGCATTTTCGATATCTGCTTTAGTTCGCATATTTTCCAAGCTGCGAAAATAATCCAGGGCATTTTTTCTGCGCAAGGCGAGAACTCAATAGCTTAAAGATGCATGCTTTACAATTAATCTTCTATAAGAGTGGCTCAGTACGATCCCTGACGAAGAAGTGTGTTATTTTCCTCAACAATGCTATATCTAAAAACCGTTTGCCACTTGTAAGTAGCACACTATAGGTTCTTTCTGTGTATCCCTATCCTAAGATGTTTCAATATTTTTTTTACCTCGTTCAAAAATGAATACGAAATGTCTAAAACGATGTGCTTCAGTTAATAACATTGGAGTATCAGCAAACGAAAGATCTTGAAATGCAACTAAAATTAATCACTTTAAAGCCTTTGATCAAAACAAAAATTACACACTGATAGTAGGGATCATTTTCCTTAACAGTACATTGGTGTACCAGTAGTCTTAAAGGGACCTTCTATTCGCAATACAAAATTATTCACAAACAGGTGTTCCATGGATGGTCCATACTAACTCAATAAAAGCGCTGTCAGCATTGGATTCAAATGGCTAAGCCTATTATATATAGTGCATGCTACTAGTAACGTGATTACAATAAAACGCCATACACATCTAATTGATGACAGAGTTATACGCACGCCACCTGTGGTAACAATGGGCATACAATCCACTTTACAATACAACAACAAAAGTTTGACTTACCGTATACCTGTTTTCAGTGCATGCATCATAAAGAAATAAAGTATAGATTTGAGGGAAGAAAAATCATCATTGCTAAAGAGAAATATCGTTATTGGTGTTGCCTCCCGTATGAACTATGAGTTTACTGCTAATTTTTACGTATTCGTAACATCGGTTTCATTTTTGAAGATTCTGCAAACAAAATTAAAGGAGGCATACATTCTCACGTCTGCGGTTAGTTATCTAAAAAAGAACAAAAAAAAATAAGTGAAAATTGCAACAACAAGAGGAGTTTAAAGCTTAAAGTAGATCATTTATTGTGCTTATAACTAGTATTGACATTATAATGCACCTGTGTACAGAGTAAAAATGATAAAAGTTAGTCCCTTCCATGTCTAAAACCGCACTCAAAAGCGGCTAGCAAAGCCTAGTCGTTTCATATATAGGTTAGTATACTTCTTACATAATGTGTACCGAACGGATGAATTAGTAAAATTGTACACGCCAAATACAAAATGCGTGTCTCTCTTTCGTAGACCTAGAATTGTTAGTAATAAAATACCGCGCCGATATTTGCAAACAAGTGTACTACTCTTCTGTGCTAGGAAAATTCTCGCACTTACTAAAGTTTGTTTTTTGACTTGAAAAATGCTGTAACTGCTTTTATCGCTTCATCGGAAAGGAAACGCTCCTCGAGACGACGGCATTCATCAGCGTTTGCCTTGTGCAACTCAGCTTTGATGGGATTTCGTATGAGCATTTTTGAGTACATAAGTGATTTGGGAGGCTGCTTTCTTAAGTACTCAATACGCTTAGCGCACTCAGCCTCAAATATCGCCGCCGGAAATACGTCTGTAACGAAGCCAGCGGCCTTAGCCTCTGCGGCGGACAGAATACGATTCATCAACAGTACTTCGGCGGCTAAGGGACCGCCCAGAATACGCGGGAAGGTGACAGAAGAACAGCCCTCAGGACTGAGACCCAATTTCGAGAACGGGGTTTGGAACGTGGCTACATCTGACGCATAGACCAAATCAAACAGTCCAAGAACGGTACAAGATACCCCGATCGAGGGGCCGTTCACAAGGGCTACCATAGGCTTAGGAAAATCAATAAAAGCTCCGATATAGTCCTTTACGAGGTCAGCTGATTCCTTTGCCATAACCACAAGATCAGCGCCCGTTTTAAGTTTCTCAGAAAAATTTCCGAGATCATTTCCACTTGAGAAGTAATCAGCTGTACCAGTCAACACAAAATAGTTTACAGACGAGTCATTGGCTGTCTCTTTGAGTAACCTCGTGATCTCTTTATACATTTCGAAGGAAAGCGAATTCTTTTTACTGGGTCGATTGAGACGAACCGTAAAAACTCCATTCTGCTTAGTAATGACGAGACCTTCGCCTGGAAAGAGAGAAAAATATAGGGTTATTTATCGACCTCTGTTTTTATGTTTTTTTTCTAAATGTATAATTTGCCTTCGAACTGTAAAAAAACTGGATAAATACCTAATTGACTTAAGCGACTAATTACATCCGAAACAGAGCTCTTTGATAGTTGTAGGGATCGATCATGTGCACAGTAGTAGATATAGTTATCCTCAAAATAGCGTCAATTTTATGTTACTTTGTAGCTTAAGCCTGGTGCTCGGCTTCAGTGATGCATCCAAGTATCGCTTCAAACATTGGTGGTACAAACGGTCATGAGCATTACACTATCAAAAAGCTCTAGCCAAATGTTTTAAGGCGTTTTTCTATATGCCGACAATGGACCTGCAATGGAGCAGCAACAAACACTTGAGAGTTCTTTAGCAATAATGCCATTTGCACATCCCAAGTCGAGTGCAGCTATACCACTTACGCAGTATGCTGGGCGTACATTCGTAGACACTGGCATAGCTAGTGAAAATGTACATACAAATGCGTGATAAGTAGCTTTGTAAAGCATCTAAATCGAAAGTTGATAAAACTCACAGCCGGAATCCATTGTCTGAACTTGTTCACTAGACTTTTGTTCGTTTAGCAACTGGTCCACTAAGTCTATATACTGTGATTCAGCCTGTTCCTTCGCAGTGCCCTCTATTTCTTTCCACGCCGCCCACTTTGCTTTGCCAACAAAATCAAAAGCTCCCGGCTTTGGCACGTTCACATCACCTATAGTCGCCTTCAACATAAAATGAATAAGTTAATAAACAGTATACGTGGCTATGCGATGTATGTTAGAATATTAGATCCCTAGTGTAGTTGCAGCCTTTGATAAACATACGCGTACACTTCGCCTAAACAGTTTTCATTTAATCTAATTGGACGGCCAAAATGCATAACAATTTGTATCTTGGAAGGCGAAAATGTAACAGTAGATATCTTTTTTTTCAAATCAATATCAAACTTTGCATATTAATTACGCCACAACGATTTGAAACCTGCTATTTGACCTACACCTATAATGAGGAAAAAGACGACAGTTTTTAAGGTGAAATTAACGTATCATCATCCAAACATGTCGAAACAGACCCGCATCGGTAGATCTACTAACGAGATCTGCGAGCCACTTTTACAATTATAATCAAACCTCTTGAGCTCATGTAAAAATAAAACATGGCAGTGGGATGTAAGATAATAAAATGATACAGAACTATGTCAGCGTATGGGTGTTTCGTTTCTTCGCGAAATCGTAAGACTGAAACTATAAAGGAAGAAATATATATATATATATATATATATATATATATATATATATATATATATATATATATAGTTGTCGTCGGTCAGTTATTTAGGACAGAGGTTAAGCTAGTCTCTTCACATGTGTTAATGGTCTGAGGGTGTAGATGGACATTTTGGGTTCATTATGTTTAGAAAAATGCGTATCAACATATCGCATGGTATTGTTAAGAAAACGACGTTAGTGACGATCTTTATAGCTTCGATAATTCATTACCCTATTTATAAACTAACCTGCTTAAATAATGCGTAGATCTTGAGTTTCACGTCATTATCAGGCTCCTCTCTGAGAGTCTTCAGACGAGCCGCAGCTTTTTCAAGCTTCGCGGATACTGCGTAAGTTCGCACAGAGTTTGGTGGTAGCAAAAGTTTTACTAGGTTCAACGCGACTTGCAGTCGTCGATCAGCTCCACTGGTTACGCTAAGCGTGGCCCTTGATAGGAGCATTCTGCACTTCCCAAATCTAAATGTCGTCACTGATGTTTTCCTCTCGCGGCACTCTGGGTGACTGGCATAAAATGTCAGCCGCTTTACGCACAACGCCGACAGTAAAAAGTAAAATAAAGACAACTCCAACTGGCTATTTCTGTCGTGAATACGGCTTTTAGCTCCCCAAAAGTAATAGGTTCAATTCGTACAAAAAAACGACAGGTACCACACGTTTGGGCTTCTCGAATCAGCCGACAGCGGCGACTGTCGTCAACTGGCCACGAGAATGACCTTGGCTACAGTACAAGAAGTAACCATTAGAATAGACTGCCTGCTACTACGATTACTCTCTTGTTACTGCTGAACCACTATTATAGAACGACCGCGCTGCAGCAAAGGGGCAGTTAGCTTTTCTGTTATGACACAAAAGGTAAGGCGCCGTCTCTCTGCGCTTCTCCCCGATTGCTCACGAAAACGTCTTCTTATCAAGAGAAAGAGGGGGCAAACCGTTGTACTCAAACAGCAACACAGACACCTCTGCTTGAGGTAAACCATAGACGGAAATACATGGACAATACTGTTTGCGGAAGCTACCTGCGTGTAGTCTGCTATAGAGGGGGAATTCGCGTTACAAATAGGGAAAGGGTAAGGTAAATAAATCAAATTGTAAAGGCCTCTAAAAAGAGCAACAAATGCGATTAATTAATGATATCTTTAGGAATTCTTATGGTACTACTATATCTATTTTTTGTTGCGAAATAATTGCTGGAATACGTGCATTTAAGGTAGTTTTTGCTAGTTGGAAATCACCATTTCTATAGATTATCAAGGCTGACGTTTGGAGCTTTTACTGAACATAATAGTTTCCAGATCACCAATTACATGTATTATACAATCAACAGTATATATTACACTTAATTATTTACACATACACTAGAATATTAACGTTGTTGTAAGCTGACATGCAGGCGAACCTAAACAATGGGGAACGCATGACTTAGAGGATTTATTCGACGTATCATAAAAATGCAAAATCTAATGTCAAAAACAATATCCACACGTCAAGACAATAATAACCCGACGCTAAGCTTAAGTCAATCTAATAAAGAAAAGGGGGCAAGAATCCACATCCGGATCAAAATAAACAGTATCAGCTGCCTTTCTTTTTACAAACGCTATTCAATAAAAGACAAAAAGCACACTTCATACATTTAATATAATACGTGAATTTTATTTAGCAAAATAGGCTCGCTGTCGTAAGTTATGATTCAACAGGTATTGAAATACGTACGCATAATATTTCCCTATAATTCCCTATGACTCAGTTGATAATTAAACTTCTATCAACAAACAAAATTAATCCTGGCCAGTAATGGGTATACTCAAAGAACTCCGGAAGTGCAAACTGAACATAGGTTACGCTATTGATAAAATCCTTAAATAGGTTAGTGTTAGTTTTATGCAAAGAGTAATAGATCAGCATCGCCTTTTTTATGGAAAATCATTGCATAAAGGTCTCATAGAGAAGGTGTACTTGAAAATGATATGAAAAAAGGAACTCACAAAAAGTATGAAAAAAATAAGTCTACACTCACTGTGTTCTACAGAGTCTTCAGGCTTTGCTGTTAAGCGACTCTAAGGTTCAGGTCGACCTATACTCGATGCGCTTATTTCTACTAAATTATACGTTAATACGAAAAAGTGCGACCCTTCATTGTAATTTAATTGGGCCGCAATTCATCGTAGCTTTTCTACAAGAACAGCGAGTCATGTAAACTTTTAGTTGCAAGTCTCAGAACATATTCGTTAGTCATTCTTTATTGACACAGATGACCTATTGTCGGAATGTAAGTTTCTTTTTCAGGTCGAAAGAGACATCAGTATTAGCATATATCTTTCTAGTTATTGTCTTTACCCTGATATTTTCACATAATAAATTAATACTAAATCTACTTGTTAATACGCTACGTTCAAAGAAATCCCATCGTTTACCTAATTCAAAACTAATCATAAGCAATGTTCGATTCTTCTTTGAGAGTCAAGCATTTTTTTCTATTTTTCATAAAACAAATATTAATTGATATTAAATTAAGAAGAGTCGATGGATGTATTCAATATAATAATATTTACACGATTATGATGTACAATTAAATAATATTACCCGTCAGTTTCAGGTCAAAAGAAACAGAGTAACATTAAAAAATCATTTCAAAATATGAAGTCTATAAAGGATAAGTAATATAATATATAGCAGTACTCTAGTTCTATGTCTTCGAAGTACTACATCCATTTATATTAAAAAATCACAACCAACAAGAACTATATTTCCGTTACGATCATTAATATTTCATGTCCACTCACAGAAAAATAAAATTAAATAAAAATTAGCTCATCTCTTTTCTAATAAAAGCAGACGAACAATTTGTACCCGCTGAGTCGTAGTTCAGAAACAATATAGTTGTTTCGCTATTATCAAAGCTGCCAATTATAAAAATTTTTTGCACGTCTTAAATTTCTACATCATTATAGAGGGATGGATAAAGATACGTAAAGTTTACATGTATTGAAAATCTCTGTATGCAGATTTTCTGCGGAGCTTAACCGCGAGAATAAAACGTTTATGCACGTTACTTTGATTCAATGACATATTTATGTACACCTCTTAAAGAATCTCTGAAGAATAGGCTTCAAATATTCCATCTAAAAACAATAGTTGATCAAAAATACTGTACAGAGATACATAATGGCAAAATCAGGAATACTAAAACTTTAAAGAATTTGAATTACTTTAATTTTTGTTTAGACATCAATTACCTATAGTAGTAATAGTAAGCTACGTCTACAATTATAAAGCCGAAGCTATTTTTAATGACTATAGAAATAAATAGGTGGATGAAGATAAAAAAACATACATTACATATGATGCGTTAATAAAATTGCCACTTATCTCTCCTACAGTTACAGCGCTAATCAATAATACGGCTCATTACACGTCAGATAACTAATTTCGACCCACCTTCGATTCTCGATGCCATAGTTGACGCCGTATAGGGCAAGGCCTCCAAAGACAATGCTTTTCTTCGGGTGTCTGGGAACCCATTTTGTGAATCGCACTATTCTCCACTGCGACATCGCGACTGCGATGTTCAAAAGCAACACACCGCAGCAGTCTACACAATTATCCTTTTTCGATAATCACTAAACACCACAATTGGTACTGTAGACACTCTGCTAACTATACGAACAAGTTCTGATAGAGGTAGTTCTGATGCGGCATTTGTTCGATGGCTTTCAACCTTCGATTTCCATACGTAACGCGCGCGTGTTTGTCAACATTAAGCGGGGCTCACATTTTGTCAGCGCGGCGATTTTGAAAGTTTGCATCGACCATTTTCACTTACTACTTTTCTTTCTATTTTCTACTTATTATTTCTACTTACCATGCTCATAAATGCGAGCTACAACTAAGATCCCCCGAAAATATTCATAATGGTGCCTAATCAAATCAGTTCCTCCACGCGGCATATAAACGGAGGTTAAATTTAAGACAGCAAAATATTTGTAGCTGAAATTCTTCGAGGTTAGAGTAAAGCTTCGGTCGCTTCATTACAAAAAGGAAAGACAATTTTAGTTGTCGCATAATAATAAAAACGATCGCAAATATTGTGCTTGGCAATGTTAAAACACAATACTTACGTTTTTTTCAATATTTTCAAGTCATTTGTTAAGGGGGCAAATAATGAAAAATTTAATTTTAGACTTATTGCAAGAAGAGCTAGTTTTACCAGCAGTACAAATAGCTTATAAGGTTACCTGACAGAGAAATCTTTATTACTGGACGTCGGTGCTAACAAATGCCAGATCTCACAGTACGTATATCATTGGTGGTCGTCACATACTTTCTACTCTGTTACAATTTGTTTTAATGACTATATTGAATTACGTACACTGTGCACTATTTTTGAGTAAGCGAACGTCTGCTTTACTTGTCATTCATCAGTAAGGATTATTATACATGACACATAAATATATCTGAGAACTAATCTCGCAGACAACATAGGTGTTACTTAACGTTATAACTCAATGTCTAGAAAAATGTGCATATAAGCTATTTTATTCTACCCCCTTTTGCTCAGCTTTTGATTAATTTATAATTTAGGCGAAAATAGTGCAAACAATGTTTGCAGTAAAACCCTTTCGATCAGTCGTACCTTTTAATTGTATTTTATATAATGTTATTTTTCGTTTCGTGCAGGGAGCTAGCCATTTGAAGTAATACCTTGATTATGGAACATAAAACATAAGGATATGATAAAGTATAGTTAATCTTGAATTTCATTAAGAGAAGAAAATAATGAAATCCTGAACAATTTTAACGAGAACGTATCATGATCACTTTCACTTCTTTCTAACTGTCAAAATAATTGATACTAGAAAGTTAATCAGGTTCCAACTTGAATTATTTCGTTAGGAGCCAGAAAATATGATCGTTTTCAAAGAAGCCTTGTCCTATCCCACTTATAATATAAGCGATTGTACGGCTGGCATACACCATAGTTATTTCTTCGATATGTAGAGTTATTTCAAAATAATTTTAGAATTATAAACATAACTAGTTTTCAAAATGACTTTACAAACCATACCGCTTACATAACAGACCTTAAATTGAGAACAATTGAACTTATTAGGTAAATTTGCCTAAAAGTTGAGAGGAAACAACTTTTTTTTCCGTTTGACGTTCACTGGGTGTTGGGTATTTCTTCAAATGGCTAGCTCCGAGTACGGAACGAAAAATAATTAGCAAAAAACTAAACTACAAGAAATAACTACAAAAAACAAGAACGATGGCGCCAATATTCTTACCGTTTCTGGGCGGTAAAGTAATATCATCATTGAGTCGTAAATACGTTATAGTAACAAACGGTTGCCTAACATTGAATAAATATAGATGTAATTCTTCTAAAAATGCAGGGCCTTGTTACTTTTTGTCTCCATGACAGTATAAGAGTTACAGATTTCCGGGCGATAAAAAAAGAAATAATATCGACTTCTTAGAAGGTTTTTTTTTATTGATGCACTGATTTAGCTGTCAGATTGAATTGAAAGGCTAAGTTTTCAATGAGAAACTCAAGTTTTATCGGTTTCTACCTAGAAGCTGACTTTATTTAAGGAGAAAAGCCGGCGCTAAGACCTGCTTCGCTACCTTTGCATTAAAATTCCTTTTCCTCTTTTCGATTCTATTGATGGCCAACATCCTCGTCACTAGGCATATCGTTCTCTAAGGCGGCATACAAAGGTGCATTCGTAAAGGCTTAGCTATCACCTACTTTTCCCTTGGCGTTGTGAAAGGCTCTAGGCAGGTAGTATAGACGACATATAGGTATAAACGACAGAAACAGCGAAGGAACTTCCGTTCCAAGCCAATATGCGAAAAGTAAGTAGTAACTACAATGTGAGTTTGATCTATATGGTTATCTAAAATAGTGCCAATCAAAGTTAGCATTCGTGTCAAAAAAATCACTCTTTTTCGCTAATTTCAACTACTGACAAGACAACAATACAGATTACTAATTGTAGTTGTTAGTTCAAGTAAGAAACTAAGCTGTATTAGCTAAGAATTTAAGAACTATTTTGCTTATTAATAAACTCAAATAATCAAGTTTACCAATATTATGTGTCGATTGGAGAGCCTGCAATGTTCTTACAACAACATTAAATTACTTCATAAAGACCCTTGTTTATACATATATGAAATATTGAAAATATCTTTCGTTAGGAAAATACAGTAAAAAGTGCAGTGCAACGCATCAACCAATTACTTTCACATCCCTTTGATAGTGAGGTGTCTGAGAAATTCTATCTACGAAGGCCTGGTTAAGGAATGATTAAAATTACATTCATTTTTTAATGAGATATAGACAACATTTACTTTATTTAAGTGTTCCTGTTACTCCAGCCTTTGTCTTGTCGTTCTTGCCTTTGAATCTTATATTTTTCAGTTAGGAAGTACAATATACACAGAAAGAGCGGCAGTGTTGCCAAAAAAAAAAAAGGGGATTTCCTCTGTCCCTCACCTATTTTAAATTTGTTTTTTAGTGAACATGTATGGAACACACTATTACGATGGTGACAATACTATATTTTTTTTATTTTTATCTATTTCTTTACTTAAAATTTATTTATTTCTATCAACATCAGCATCGGCGTTATCTTGATCAATTAAAATCATTTATATTATACAACAACAAGTTGTCGAAATATGTTATGTCACACATCGTACGGACGACGCTTCGAAAACGGTTTCCTTTTAAGCGAACCATCTGTTTTCTTCGTCATTTTTGCGGACACATTAATAGGACCCGTCTGGTGTTGGGCGCCTGAAAAGTGTCAGGGCAATCCACCAGAAAGCCGGTCTTATTTGTAACGCCAGCTCACACCATTTTGAATAATTTTTTTTCTATCATATCATCATAAACTAAATGATCATCGTCATCATCAGCGTCAAGTTCTCATTTTGAATTGTGATGCGTCTTGTTTCCGCTTAAAAGTATCGTTACCTAATCGATCGAGATATATATGTATATATATATATATATATATATATATATATATATATATATATATATATATATATATATATACGTCATAAATAGCGTATCTATATAGCGTTTTTATACATATGCTTCTTTATATCCGCTCGTTATCTGTCTGAGCTTCTTCATCTAGTCCAGTTGTTGGTCTGCTAAAGTTGGTTACGTTTCATTAATCCACCCACATCCTCTTCCTGCTGCTGGAAAAGCCATTTCTTTATTTCCCTCTATTTTCTTAGATGTTTTCTATTACGTACTCTCATTTATTTATTTCATTTTTTGTTTATTTCCGCAGCAAGGAGAAATCATATCTTACTGTTCGTATTCCGCTTTTTACCACATCTCCTAGAAAATACGTAGCTATATTATTGGTCGTCGTACCGATATAAATTTCAATGACGCCACCCGTCGTCCCCAGAATCGTCATCGTATTTCGTTTGCGTGCTATAATTGTACCTGCTCCGTCCAGTTCGGCAGTTTAGGCCTCACAAGCGGTGCGAATGCCTTCAGTCCGAAAGCTGCAGGTGCACCACTCGCCTGAGACTATACCTTGACGAGGACAGTAGCATTTTCTGACCTACCGATGTGTGTTTGGGTTGACCATTAAATCGCTCGATGAAGTATCTCTTTAGGACCACAAGAGACGCAAATAGACAATCTCGACGGGACTGAAGCATTTTCTTTATCTACATGACGTCTTCTGCACCTATACCTTTGTCTCAATACCTTGCTATTTACTGTCCGTATTTTAAAAATCAACTTTCTAGAAACTGCGTCGTTCGCAGGTCGAACCATTCAAGCAGATAAGCTATGATTTCGTCAGCGACTGCCCACGACAGAGCGGCAGGCACCTCTGGAACGATTAAATTGCAATTCTTTGTGCCGGGTAATGAATAAAGTGCTGGTTTTTTTTTTTGTTTATACCACCTGTTTGTTACAGCGGATATCCAATAAAGATGTATTTTTTTATTTGATTACTTTTGTCGATATAACAACGTTCCATATCAACTTCGCATTCTAATTCAAAGTAACAAGTTCCATAATTCAACCAATATTGTTTGAATGTTATTTTCAGATAGCGACACAACTAATATGTATGCACGTTTCACATGTTCGTCCAACCCCTCCATCTCTTTTGCTTTTTCTTCCGCACTTCCTTTCACACAATCACGCCTGCACTTCTGCGTAGCATCCAGCCAGCTGACTGTTAGGGTACAACTATTAGTTCATGCGTTGGCCTATGTTTTAATTCAATTCTTGGGTAATTTTGATACAGACTTTACTCTAAAACAAGGCTTTCCGGGACCTACAAAAGTTTTTGATAGACATTAAGGTCTTCCATCTTCGTTATCGTTTATCGAAATATCACCAACAATCATCATCATCATCGTTTCCTACCCCAGATATGGTAATTTTCAACTGTGTCCATTTGCATGTCCGGCGTGATGCGCTAATCACAGTCTCTTGCCGAATAGCACACACAAAGGGCCATGGCAACCACCGTTTTACTGAATGTTGCTTTGAATAAATTTTATCAACCAATCTGTCAAGGGCTGTCTTTGTCCTGTCAGCGCAATGACTAACACAGCGAACGCGAGCGACTCTCAAGCCCGGTCTTGTGCCGATTTCAACCACTAGACTCGCATGAAAGCTCTACAGAATAACGCAGGATGACGAGGAGAAACAACAGGAACTTGTCGTTTCCTTTATTCGTTCGTCCTGATTTGGCTCAGGCAGATTTTCGCGTGGTAGGAGATGCATAACCTGAAATGGGAGAAAGCAGGCAGGATGTTAGTTTCTGATAGAGCAGACCGCTATTGCAGGGACTGCATGGAACTATAACGATTCGAAAGGCAGTAATGAATTGTAAAGTGTGAGTAACTTATACGTATGCAATTGGTACTTTTTTTGTTTATATAAATATACTCAAATGCAGTTAAAGTACCTCTATTGAATAAGTCTTTTTTCTTTTCTCTAAGCCACAGTAAACATAATGGAAATGCTTTTGTTCCAGAAACATTCCACACACACTATATATATGTATATATGTAACTATAACCTATAAAAAGTGTCGGCCAACAAACGTAACAAACATTTTTAGTATTAGCGACGCATGAAGGAGCACGATGAGCAGAGCACTAGGTCCAGCAATCATAGGAGAACTAGCAGCGAAGCGTGAAACCAGTCGTGGACATTAACAATAATTTATTCTAGTAAAGAGCCGTGTTTTGTAATTTCGACAAATTTCCATATTTTATTCAGTAAACAAACATATAGAATTGTAGTAGAGCGTGATTTTAGAATTATTGTATTTAACATGTATTTTATTGATTTTCATGTTTTTCAGACAGTCACCAGGCCTATGCGTTGTTAGTCACTGTGTGGCTGCAACAACAGGATAACAACAATTTACAGTAGTAAATAGCAGCTCCGTGGTATACTGTATTTATAGCACTGGTATGTCGTTGAGTAATAATAATAATTATGTAAATATCAATGCATTAAATGCATTGGGTATGTTTGGTATAACATGTAAGTAGTACGTACGGTGGTCTTGCCAGTTGGCAGTGCAAGCGCACTGAGCGTCACGTCGGCGTGAAGAAAACGACCCTGGTAAATTAGGCGGAGAATCTCGGCTCGTTCTACCTTTTCTGCCGCCCACTCCGTTGGCCAGGCTTCATATACCGACTGGGCGATATCGCCCGCGGATGCTGCAGGACTGAATAGGAAATCCTTCGTCTTTCCGGATACGAGGATAAGGCGAAGATTGATCTGAAGATAGCAGAAACAACAATCACATTAATAACAATTCGGTTGTCATCAGGACAACGTTGGCATTTCCCGAATCGAATGAGGATTATTGGAATCAACATACATATATATTAAAAGACAGGGAGGGAAGGAGAGAAATTCTTGTCACACAGCGATAATACACGTTATCAGTAAAATAAGGCGAAAATTCACCTAAGTCTAGCAGAAACTGATAAGCGGTGCTTAATTTTGACGCAAGATAATCTACAATTAAAGCATGGACGCAGCTGATGGGCAACATTGTTGTCACGTTTATAAACTAAACAGATCGATAAGATCTGGTACAGGATATGATGGCCGGATATTGAGCAATTTTCTTGTAAAGTGTGCCATATTTTGCACGTTAGTATATAAATGAAAGAACAAATACCATTGTATAATCGCAATTAAATCAATTTTAATAAAACAGCCTTTTTAATTTTTCGTCTCCTTTTTCTCGCTCTCTTTTCTCCGTTCCCCACGATGAGCTTTCTTCCCCTCGTTGTAGTCTGCGCCTGCAGTCTGTAGTTTTGCTAGGAACTGAATTGTCCGCATTTCCGCTGCCTGTTCACAATGTATGATACGTTCCGTCTTTTTCGAAGAACGAAAACTCGTTATGACAGCGGCAATTCACTAAGGAGTGATAAGTGGGCAAGGACACGGCTCTACTGAATGGAATTCCAGACAGCACTCTGGGCATCCCATTGAAGGCCGATGAAATTGTTCTAACCCCATTGCGCCTGTGTGTCAGCCGATTTTCCCGTCCGGACGCTTGCTTGTTGGCTTACATCTCCAGCTGAAAAGAACGTAGATCAACTCCAATCGTCCGTTTTTTTCTCTTAGAAGAATTCTATAGAAAATAGTGTACCATGTTTGTATGTGTTGGATTGCCCGCGTCAATGCCAAAATCATCGTAGAGATTGCCGTCACTGACAACAAAAATGATATCCCAGTCCCTTTAACCATCTGCCTACCTCCTTGTTTCCCTTCCTGGTTGGCCTTACGATTCGGCCATGATCTCACTCAAACAAACGGATATAGCGTCAGCGTACGACGCCGACGCTATCGTCCATTTAAGTTTTAACCGCTCGGGAGGTTACGAATAGGAGAACTAGATTGTTCTGGAGTATTTGTTTTAGGGCTAAGGCCATTACCACGCACTAATGGCCAGCAGTTGAACGTATTGGTGTCCAAAAGCCATGATAGCACTATGCACTATTGTTACGTTATAATAACACAATTTGGAGCTACTATACGAATAGAGTTTTTCCTTTAAATAGATTATAGTTCTATGATAACTTACGGTGTTTGTCAGCGCACTTTTCCACAAAGATGAACAGAATTACAGATACAGACTAAGCCTGAAGCAGCAAGAAATAGGACTCAGTTTCATACACAGACAGAGTTTCATACACTACTAGCGATGTACTAGTAAATACATCAGTAATATGCTTGTTATACTGATACTATTATCAGACTCAAAAGATTCAAAATAAGAGCCACGAACGGCTCAAATAGCCGGGAACAGATCAAATAAATTTGCTTCTAATAGACCCGATAATCTGACAAAATGAAATTCTCTTTCGGCTATGTCATAATCGTGCTTACTTACATCTTTGAAAAGCAGCAGTATTTATATCGTTTTCCTCCAAGCTATGGCTACCTCTTGGATTTTGTTGTTATGCTTTGTATTTTTATTATCCTCGTTTGGTATTCTGCCAACAATAGTAATACTAACGGTAACAAAAAGGTATTAAGTTGTTTGAGTCAAGACAGTCGTTAAGACAAGGCGGTCGACAGGCGCCATAAGCAAACCGGCACAGGTAAGCGACACTCATTTTCTTTAGCAGATCATATCAATACGTTGTCAGGATGACCTAGCCTCACTGCATAATACGTTGACTATCCAGACTGCTAGGCTCTCTAGCGAACATAAAGCGTCACGGCAGCTGTAGAGCTTAATAGTTATTAATATCTAAACTATTTATATTTTATGTTAAAATTGATTTCAAGCATTTTGGGATGCAAGAGCATTTCACGAAAGCCTGAAATTAGTATGATAGCGGTATCTATACTGACAGTCTTACTGAATGCTGCACGGTGGCAAATATTTTCAATCCACTAGTAGTAAAAGCTGTCTCGTAAATGCGTAACCTAAATAAACTGAAGAAATAATTGAGCCTAGACCGGGACCGAGCGAATAGGACAAACCTATGGCATCTATCAAAAAGGTGTAAGAGCAATACAAAAACTATTTTACTTCTATGAAGAAAGATTAAGCTAATGTTAGATGTCGTATACCGTTCTATTATCACCATATTTTATTTTTGACAACGTTGATCTCGCAGGCTAAATCCGTTCGACGCATGTGCCGTCATTTCACAAGTGTAGAACTGTGTATACAGCTTTTCGCAAAACTGTACACTTTGACAAAAATGGTCAGTTCTAGGACAGTATTGTTGAACACAGTTAAATTTTCTTGGGTGATTTGAATGTCTGTTTTTCTAATTGGCGGTTTGGTAAGTACAAGTTTAAAAGCACAAGAATCTTTCAATGGTCTTATTAATGAGGACTTCATGCTTTAACTTCGCGTAAAACTGAGGATACTTTGCCCTATTGGCTAGAGCATGCCAATACTTACTGTATCGACTCCGCTCCTAAGAGCTGATACCGGAGCTTATTTGAAAATCAAAATGCACCCAGTCAACATTATCGCAATTATTCAAAAACTTCAAATTCAGTTAACAGGTCACTTCCATGGAATATGGCTATGAATTCGTTCGGCTTCCCATACACTACATTGTTTTATAATGATACCAAACACACGAAGCCAAGAAGAACCAAAATTATCGTCATTTGCGATTAGAGCCGACATTTATGAGGTAAAGCGTAATCAAAACGAAATTTCACCTGCATATTGGTATTGGTTTTATATCCTATATCCTATCATATATATATTGATTTTATCCCCGTGATTCCTTCATTTCTAGGGCAGGCTTCATTTGCAAATAGTTATTGTAGGCCAAATGGTATTGTCAGACATTTCATATTTTGTTTTCTAGGTAAATAAACGTAAAATCTAGCACTCGACAATAGCAGCTTTATTGGGAATACCTGTAGCAGCGTTTTGGCAGACCGGCGCAAGACCTACTTTATCAGATAGTTAATATGGACAACTTAAAAAATACGAAGTTAATTTCTACGAAATAACAGTTAGAGGTAGAATAACATTTTTTTTCGTAGAACATTTTGAAACTAGAGTAAGTTTAGCACATCTGATATGCTCTAATTAATACAGCACTTGCGATCTAGCGAAAGGCATGAACTTTAGCTTGTTGTCTTTAGTAGTTATTTATACATTTATTCTGAGAAAAATTGCTTATAAATATCCTGGTTATATTGCAAAAATTAATTTTACAAACCTGAATTTTTTATTTTAATTTTACAATCTATGCGATAAAAGAGGCATCCTTGTATGCTGGAATGCAAGTGCGTGAATTCTACGTTAGCACGTTTGCGGCAACGCGTAATTTACAGCTCTTAGTTTTAAACATAACGGCTTTTTGACACCAAGATTTTTTGCAAACATATGCAGCTAAATTAGTATAATAAATTAGAGTAACGCTATAAAGATAAATTATATATTCGTATAATTATTACTAAGCGTGTCGGTTCAGGAGTGCTAATTAAAAATTGATGCAAATTAAGTATTTATAAAATCAGTTTACCCGAACTACAAAGTACCACAACTCCCAAATAGAGTTAAACTGAAAGGTTTGTTTTGTATAAATGAATGGGCTTATGTTGGTCAGGGGTAGGACACATATAATAAAACTTTAATAAAGAGCTTAAGTCATTGTACCTTTTGGTTCAATGGCGGCGCAAGATTAGAAACAGCATTATTCGATAAACGAATTTGAAAACCAATTCACATAAATATACTACCTTATCTTCTGGAATGGATCGCGTCATGCTGAAGCAAATGGTGCGTTAAGGTGGGTGCGCTAACAGAATCGCTCTGCCTTATCTCGCCTCCCGAAGACGACTCAATCTGAAACACGAACGACTGAAATTTACTCTTAGTCATCTATAATATTTCCACAGTTGTTATGTTACATTGGCATTATATTGTCATATTTTCTAAAAATTCTATTTTCATTAATTTTATATTGGAGGTGTCAGCTATTTTGTCAATATCTACGAGTTTAAGCGTATTGATATGCTTGATGAACTACAGTATTTCATTTAATTTTTTTGTTTTTATTATTATCAATTCAAATATATATATATATATATATATATATATATATATATATGCGATTATATGGGCTTCATAGCCGACGAGCTTTTCAGATTTTATTGTCATCATAATGCTACCGTGTCATACGAAGCACTGACGCAGCACCGGCGATGGCCATATACGTGTATCTATATAACCAGATGTACTCATACAGCTGACTTTGAATTTGAATTGAAAGTTTTTCTATGTTAGGGGACGCCAAATAAGGACATCAGTCACTTGTAGGTTTGTAACTTGTAATCACCTAGTCTACCCTAGGACGGCAAACAACGATAATTACACATGATTTCAAGCTTGACAATGATCCCACAAGCGTTTTTAATGCTTCACCAATAACGTAGAGTGAACGTATATGAAGCTCCTGGGATCGCTTCCAACATTGAAGTACACATGGCTTTAAGCGCCATACATTACCTAAGCGATTGCAATGACGACGTATAATTCACAGACAGCGCTGTAACTTAATAACAGTACTACAACAGTTCACAGCTCGAGCGATCAGCCTGAGCCGACCCTCGACCCAGACACTATCGTGACCAGAATTGACGTTATAAAAGGCATCTAACACAGCGCAGGCTGTAGTAGTTGTCCCGTGGCTAAAATTAATCTATACAGTTACGCATGCCTGAACAATAAAGAAGCCACAAATAGAGAGACACTTATTAGTAAGTAAATACATGTCTTAAAAATGGAAAGATACATATTTTTATGCGATAGCGGTACGAACAAGTCCGAGTGCAGAGAAGCATATTTCAAAGAGCGGACCCAGCCGTTTCACTGCGGTACGCAAAGGCATTGGGGTAAATAGCTATTTTCAAACGTACTACCTAGTTTTTTAAATGAAAACACAATTACGGATACCGTAGAGAACTGACAATACATTAATGACACTAAATTAAATGGACCATCTTTAACTATAAGTATTTATCCGTTGTAGATTAGTCGTTGCAGGCAAGCGACAAGTGCAGAAAGATCCACACACATATTAGGTCTAGGTATCTTCAAAGGCAGTTTAGCCAATGATTCTAGCAAGAGACCATGGTACGAGATACTGCTTCTCTGTGTAGGACTTAAACAATACAAACAACCGGATGGTAAAGTTTCATATCAGACGTAGTACTTGTAACCAGGGGAGTTTATACGATGAACGTCGTTGATCTGAACGAGGGGTATCGGATGGAGGCGAGAGACAGAGGTATCACAGTGTTATACATAGGTAACCTGTCAAGATTCGCAGCTCGCAGTATAAAATGCACATTGTTTCCCCCAATCGCGTAAGTGCCTTAAGATATTCACGGGCCTGGAATTTGAGACCTATAATTGTAGCGAGGTATCACCAGGGTGATGAGCAAACGTTGGAAGCTTGAAACGTGAACAATTTTATAATCTCATTTTGTTGTAATTGGACGAAAGAATAGTTTCATGCTCAATGCCTTCGGCTCTGGATAACAAAAAAAAAACTAACTGGTCCAATAGCATTAAAGATATGACAAGCGTCACGTAAATGGTTACGTAGCTATCTAACAAGCGTTACATTATGAGAGCTCAAAATCGACATTAGTCAGCCGGAAACCTGATGCAATAAAGATTTAGAAAAAAAAAAGGAAACTGTTGTAAACAGCAAACTATTCTATTAATAGTAACTGAGATAGTTCTCAGAGAAACGACTACGCTACTTTTAGCAGGTCAATCTTTTTGAGACACATTTATAGTACTGGTTTCGCCGACCCGTTCCATGTTCGGTGTTCCACAAGGTTAACCCTAACCGCATCGCACAGCCTATAGCAGTAGCGGTATTAGCAATAGACAGGCAGCGCTTCTGCATTATCTCTGTAATGTATTCCGCGTTCGATGCCGGTTTCGGCATCTGACTTAGCATTGAGATCTTCACCGACTTCATAAAGCTTAGCAATCCTGCCGCCTCCGCGCTGATATCTAATGGCGCATCAACAATGCACGGAGAGCCTAACATACAGACAGACTTGTGACGACAACGTATAACCACCGGCTGAGTGTTCTTTTGTCTAGCGCAGCTAGGTCTCGTTGTTACTCTGTTTTTGCGTTTGCGCGCGTGTGTGTTGTGCATTGTATGTTATTGGTATTGTGAATCACTGTAGATAGGCGTGTTGGAATGAATGCACCTGTACGTGTGCGTGTCTGCAACGGTCAGTTTGGACCAACAGTATTTGGCAATGCTGGTCACGTGGGGGCGACGTGAAAAGCATGAGGACTAGTTCCTGCGTTGCTTTATTCTGGACAAGGCTAACTAGGTGATGGGAACATACCGTTATAGACACGAGCATCATCGGTAAACACACAACAAAGCAAATCTTCATCAGGCTCTGAAGCATGAAGAAAAGACATCGCATCGCGGAGTGTTTACAAAACCAACGCAGAAATGCAAATAATGAACAGATTATTAAACTGTAGCGTAATTAATGCACTACTTTAGCAGAGAGAAGAAGCAAAAGCTTCAACTATCTAAGTTATCCATAACGAGATGGAAGCTGACCAGTATAAATACAAGACTCAAATATAGAAAGAGAATACTCGACATAGCCGATCTTTACGCGGCTATTACATCCATGCATTTGTTCACGAAAGCGACAATACACCGCTAAAGTGTCAGTCTACGGAAAGACATATCGGAGAACTTATGCGGAGTACGCACAAAGCTTTTGCATCATTTATTAGATGTTCTGCAGAATTAGTGCCACTAACTTAAGACTACTAGCATAGAAATTGTACATAATCAAGGAACTGAATGGGAAGTCGCTGTCTTTGAAACGACAAGATTTAGGTAGTGTTAATGGTTACCCTGGATTTGCAGTTTATGTAGAACACGATCCTGGAAGGCCAACCACTAACCGGACCACTCACTTTGTATTTGAGATAAATATCGAGCTCCAATCAGTGGCGTGATTGCACCCCTCATACGACCAATGGTGCGGCTCAAAAAGGTACTAACGTCGAGCTTTTTCGCGTCACTTGGTACTTCAGATTGAAGTCGATGAACAATCCCAAACTGGTTTGTTCTACCACGAGATGCAAGAACAGGCGCACATAACGTTCATCACTGTCACGTTGGCAACTTAAAGAACAATAAAGAGTTTGCCTTGTATTTGAATTACAGTCCACTTATACATATCTGTACTGCTAACGTATGTATTACACTCGACGTGTGGTGTGTGGTGAAGAGTAACGAAAAAAATAGTTTATAATGTTAATTTGCTGGCATTCAATATGCACGAATTAAGACAGCGTTGAAATACTTTAAAAGCAGTTCGAAGACTGCTGCTACGGGTGTGAAGAACATGTAGCCGGACCACGAATCAGGCCTACCTTATCCAAAATGCTTTTTCAAAAAGCCTCGATCGAAAAAGTCAACCTTTTCGACTTTTCCGCCGCTTTTCACATCTAGATCTTTGATCCCTCAACAACGGCACAACAGCAAGCGGTCTTCTTCTATAGGCCTCAATAATCAGGTGTGTATTAGTAAATCTGCAATTGAATTATTCAAATCTAACTAAGCAGCTTTTTGCAAACGGGTATGGCAGGTGGCAAAGAAAACCACAGTCTAAAATTCAGTGTTCTGTATAACGTCTGATGTGTAAAGCATCATTAGCAATGCGAAATATATGCTTCCCCTATAATGACAGCCTTAGAACTGCGTCACAGAAATCGTCGTGTAGAATGATGTTATCGAAGGTGAGGTTCGAAAGATACGACATGTTTGTGCTAAATTAACACGGACATAATAACTGAATAAAATTAGCACGGAACATTCGGTCCAAATTTCAACGCTTTGTCTTCTGTTTATACCCGTCGTCCGTGTTAGATTTCTAGATAAGTACTAAGAAGCGACCGTCGTAGATTGTTCGATTGTCAGAGATTAACAATTTTTTTTTCGTTACGTATAAGGTGTCGTCACTAGCGCAAGTGATGTTCCTTACTTGGTTCCAGTTCGCCTAGTATTAGATAACGAATGGCACCACTGAGGAAACTACTCGAGATGGATGATCAGCAGGTTTCGGATTGCTCTATACCCCGGTTCTCATAGGCTTCATGTATGAACTTCCCACGTCAGACGATTTCTATTCTTATATAAGTGTTCCGAAGAACGTTTTTAGATAATGTCACTCTAGGCTAGTTCCCTTAGTGGCTTACTTTGGGCAGCCGGATCGCTGTTGTTGTAGAGCCAAACTTCGAAAATGGGACAAATATCGTCTAGTTAACGTATAAAATAGGTACTTCTACTCTTATATATATATATATATATATATATATATAAGAGTAGAAGTACCTATTTTATACGTTAAGTAAACGATGTGTATATATATATATATATATATATATATATATATATATATATACACATCGTATATATATATAATGCACTTAGCTATTTTCAAAAGTTCATACTATGCTGTGTTTTCATTAACTGCTAGTTAGATTCTATATATACATAGAATTCTACGTATACATAGAAGTAAGAAACCATGGCTAAACCAGATAAAATCGTTGGTAACAATTCACTGTGACGCTAGCAATTTCTCCAATCAAACGGGATACAGGCAAAAATACGTATGGTCGGCGAAGCTGTTGTCCTTGAATGGAGATTAGTAGTTGCACTTTTGGCCGATCGGAGATTAAAAAGATTTGTTTTTATGTGTTTCTTTTATTTGAAAGAAGGTGAGACATAATTCGTCAGCGTACCAAATCAATCAGCTTTGAATTGTTGTAGCGCGCCA